TGGCACTCTGAAAGCCTCAGCAGTTTTGGAGACAGCTTCTGCATCCTTCAGGACTCAGGTGTGGGTCCCAGGGGACAGATGAATGCTGGATCCTGGAGTGTCCTTAAACCACATGTATGTATTCAGTCCCCCATTTAAAGAGATTCTTAGCAAGCCCCTCACCCAGTCTCCACACGCCCCTAGACAGGCTTGATCCCAAGGATGAACACAGGAAGAAATAGATAATGAGGATGAGAGACTTGCCCAAATAACCGTAAGTATCAAGGCCAAGTCTGAAGCCTACATTCGGAGCTCCTGGCTCCCATCCCTCCAGCCCCTCTGGGCCATATGCTGCCTCTCTATGAGGCACCTGAACTCCAAAACCAAGTACCTAGGAGTTCCTAGAGGGGTGCCGTTGCTGTCTTTCCGAATGCCCTTTACCAGGTAGGAGTTTGCTGGCATCCAAACCAGGGCCAGCAGGATAACTTCCTGGATAAAAAGCGCATGAAAGACTATTAATACATCATCAGTCCAGGGTGTGTACACACCAAATAAAAGCTGGCAGATTGCAGGTGACTGACCTCAGGAGGGTGAGCCGGGGGTGAGTTCAAGAACTACGCTTTTGGAGTATTTTCACTGTGTGGGTCAGCTGGAGCCTTCAAAGAGATTTGTTCATTCTAACACAACCTCAGAGCTGGTCTGTAAGAAGACGACTCCAGTTACACGTTTTCAGTGCAACTCTGGTTTCCCCGAGAGACAGGTAGCCTGGAGGCCACCATGGGTTTGCTCCCGTGCTTCCAGGGCGTGGCGTGACACACAGAGTATCTGCTCCCACCTGTCTCGTCCTTTCTCAGCTCTTTCCAGCCTGTTTCCTCGTACGTGAAAGGGTTATAGTAATACACCTGTACAGGCATCCAGGAGAATGAGATGAGCTGATGGAACCAGTAGTCACCTGCAAACCTTCAGGAAAATATGACACTGTCCTTTCTCCCTCTCTTCCATTTGCTAAGAGGTGGTGCCAGTCACCTGGACCGTAGTTTTTGTTTTGGAAACTAGCAGGAGTATGAACTGTGATAGCAGTTTGTATGTGGGTGCTGGAGTCCACAGAGGGAATAAAGTGTGTATGCCATGCCGTCCCCCGGGGAGGTGCTCCCGAGCCTGGGATACTGACGTGGGTAAAGAAGCACATACTCTCTAAATATCTCCGTTACTGATCAGCGAGCACAGGAAACCACCTGCAAATCACACGTGATCGTTTCATGTGTTCTACAAGCTCCCCCAACGCACTGCAGCAGAACTATAAATGCAGAGGATGCGGACCTGTTTGGGAATTCACTAAAATGAACAAATCATTGTCCTGAGGAGCCCATTGTGAGTCCTATGAAAACCATCTCAGCATTAATGTCGCTTCCCTCTGAATCCTAAGATCCATTAAGTCTGGATCTGAGACAGTGACCTCAATCGTCCATCCCTAAAATCTGTGTCCTCTGGTGGTCCTCTTGTTTTTCTGGAAGAGCAGTTTCTCAATAGTGCACAATTGACACTCGGGGCTGCCTGGGTCTTTGTTGTAGGGGGCTGTCCTGTTGTAGCAGCACCCCTGCCTGGCTTCTCCCCATTGGATGCCAGTAGCACTCCCAGTTGTGACATCCAAAAATGTGTACAGACATTGCCACATGTCTCCTGGGCAGCAAAATGGCCACCAGTTGAGACCAGTGAGTGAGGATGCAGGTTGATAACTGGGCTGAGCTGGTCAGTGATTTTGAACAAGAGTCAGGCTTAAAGGGGATAAGCAACCTCTGGCTAGATTAGAGCTGTGAGGACTCCTCTGTGAACAAAGAAAGCTGACATACAAGAGAGGGAAAACAACCTTTGCTTCAATTGGCCACCCTCCGATGGCCATTGCCGTGACGGGTGAAGACTGAGGATGCTGACATGGGCTGGACCTGTTAAAGCATAAACCTAGGCAGCCCTCGAGCTGCAGAATCGTCAGGGGACGATAGGAGCAACGGCCAGAGCCGCAAGCCAGAAAATGGCCATTTCCGGGAATGCTGTGAACAACTGTGCGTAAGTACTCATGGCCCCAGCCTCCCGTCTATACCCCTCACCAGTGGTTATGGCTGGGTCAGGAACCAGACAGACAAAAAGAACCGGGGTCAGTACAATCAGAGTCACTGAGACCCGCTGCGTGGTCATTGGTGTCTGCTGAGGGTGCAGGGTCACTGTAAGGCAGAGGCTGGCACATCCTTTCCAGCACACACGCATGTGCACACACACACACATGCACGCAAACACACACATATGGACATACACACACACACACGCACACACTCAGCTAAAAAGGCAAGACCACTGCTCGAGTGCTGAGTAGAACAAGGACTAAGCCGGCAGATGGGGGGCAGGGGGCCAACAAGGAAGCAGCGCAGACCCGCTCCGTCTCACGGACTCAGGCGCAGGCTGGTGCCATACATGTGTTCTTGGGTGGAGTTGTGCCTTTTTCAGTGAAAAAGAAAATGCACTCAAGTGCCATGTACGTCTCACGTTAAGGAGGAGTGTTTCTAGAGCGATTTTTATTTGTTAATGTTAGCACATATGTGGCACTGCGTGAGCCCAGCATCTGGGCACCGCACCCTTCCGTTCTGCACGTGTGGATGTGCTTCCCTACCACACGACGGCACACGCGTCAGGTTTCTTCAGGGGCCGGGCCTGTCCCCTACGTAACCCCACGCAACTGGACATGGTCGTCCCTTCACTGCTGATTGCCTGGCCAACAAACCCCATGACCTCTGCGACCTCCATGGCGCCAGGATGACAGGGTCTGCTTCAGCGTCCTGAAGTGGCATGGGGGAAGGGTGGCAGGGGCAGGGGAGGCGGCTATTTTAGTCTCCGGAAGGCCAACCTTGGCTGACTCAGATGGAACACGGTCGCCCCACTCCAGCTGTTGGCCTAGGGGTGAGGACTCAGTAGAGTCTTTAAAAGACATGGTTCTAGGAGGCTCCAAATCAGAAAAGTGCTGCAGGCCTCCTGGAGAGCGGCGCTCTCTCTACCCCCACCCCCCCACACACACCCTCCCCAGCTTGTCACATCCTCATCCTTCTCTTGAGGATAAAGGCAGATAATGAGACACCTGACTTTTCAGATGCCTTTACCTTTAATGTGCTGGGGCCCAAACCCCCAGTCTAGCGGAACTCTAATTAGGCTTCGTTTGCGACACTGAAAATCATTTTAATAGAACAGCATTAAGCCCCGCAATGTGTCATTTTTCTCTGAAAATGGAAAGGACAGGTAGAGCAGCTGTTGTTGGGGGCCTGGGTGGGAGGCCAGCACTTTTGGAAGCTCTGTGGCGTGGCTCCTGCCCCACTAAGTGGGCCGTCTGGTCACCTGTGCTGCCCCTGAGCGGACAGTGGGCTGGGCCTTGAATTCCTCGCTCTTCCTGTGGTCTGCGGATAGATCTCTGGGTGTTGGGTATGTCCCTTCATCTTCCTGTGCCACCGTCCCCACCCCTACACCTAGAGGAGCGTTTTCTCTTGTGTGCAAGCAACATGGCATTTGTGGTTCTTTCCAGAATAAGTCCCACCCGTGTTTTCCGATTTAGCTTCCCCTTTGCAGTACTGAGCTCCTATCTCATGGCAGGAGTATTTTCAAATGTCTTCAGTGGAGAGCAGAGAGGCCTCTGGGCACTCACCCTGCTGCAGCCCAGCTCTGCTGTCCTGTCTCCTCTGTCACTCCCCTCTCAGTGCCTCCCAGGCTGTCCCTAAAGCTCACAGCCCCAGGGAGTCTTTGTTCTGTGAGGGGGAGCCTTTCTGGCAAGGCTGCCTCCTGGATCTCTTTCTGGAAGGTTTCAGGCTCCTCCAGGCCACAGCACCTGAGCCTCACTGGCCTTTCCCACAGTCTGCTATGACCTGAAGCCTGGGCACCTCTCTCCAGGGACCCCTACACGGAAGTTAATGACAGTGGTACATTTCAGCAAAGTGCTGAAGTAGCAGTCAGCGCAGCTGCCATGCGCCGTGTGGAGGCAGAAGCCTTGCTCAGCGAGCCAGCTAATTAAATCCTCGTGAGCAGTCTCTCGGAGGTCCCCCTTCACGTATACTTTCCTGCTAGCAGCCTGTCAGGGTGCCGTGTCTGGTGCTCGCCCCCTAACCACCTCTCAGGGGTGTCAGAGGCCAGGCTGTTGGAGGCGGCTGCGAGCGAGCCTATTAATGCAAACAGGAAAAGAAACGTTCAGCTCTTTCCCTCACGATGCAAGATGAGTCGCTTACCCCCAGGTTCCCTATGTGCCCCCACAACGTAAAGGACGCAGATCACGAACGATTCCGTGAGTGACTGCTGTGTCCCCCACCCCGACAATGCTCAGTTACATGCAGGAAATGGATGCAAAGAAGGAAAAACTTAGAAACGTGAGAACCGGATGATCCTGAAAAGTCTGTGGTGGTTCGTTTCAACCCTCTCTCTCACGCTTCTTCCACTGGCCATTAAAAAGAGGATGGACTGGGAAATGGGTGTTCTCTGAGAATCTAAATGATCAACACGAGATTTCATTTGGTCTCATTTTCTCTCCATATTGTAGAATCCAATTTTTTATGATGAGTAACATAGCCCAGAAGTGACATCTGGAAATACAAAGGAGAAAAACCAAAGCACCTGGGCTGAGCCTCAGTTAGCCTGTCACCTCCTGACAATGGGAGAGCGGGTGGGACCATTGCAGTAGGTACACCTGTATGTGGTAGGCCAGTTCTGACCAGCGTCTCTACTGTCACACTGAGAGGTCAAGTACGTCAGTGTTTCCTACAACTACTGCCGAGGGCCATCACACCAGCTGTCCCAGGGTCCTGTGCAGGCTCTGGTTAGGCGTACGGTGCAGTGGGACAAGTCCGGGGCCACCTTCCTTTTCCTGTCGGATCAGCCTAAAGATAATCAGTATCACTTGTGACGTTACAAACAGGAGACCCGGCCCTGGCTCACAGTGACAGGACTCTGAACACTGTTCAGTGTGAAAGAAGAGTAAATGGGACTTTGTTTTACAGCCTGGACTCTTTCCTGTATGGTCTTCACGCGCTCTTCAAAGGCGACTTTAGAATAACAGCACGAGATGAGTGGGTGTTTGCTGATATGGATCTTCTGCACAAAGTTGTGGCTCCAGCCATCAGGATGTCCCTCAAGCTTCACCAGGTAAAACTCCATTTTGTAAAAAAAAGTCTGAGCCGGAAACATTAGGAACGAAGATAAGCTTTCATAAATAGTGTCCCCTTTCTTGGCATGACGTAAGTGAGTGGGTTTATTACTTAGGTAACCAAGCACTGAGGCCATCCGGGTAGTCTTGACATTGGCCAGTGGCAATCTGCCCTCCAGAGCTGCTAGGGGATATTCCACCAGGATGGAAGAGGGCAGTTGGCCAGAGGAAATGACATATCAGAAGTGCTCAAACGGTACCGAAAAGTTGTAAGAACCCAGGCCACGCAACTCTTGCCCTAAGCATGTCCCAGTGTTAGGACCACAGGACGAGGCGCGTCCTCTGTCCAGGTCAGGATTCACACAGAGCCGTGGAGAGGGAGACGCGGACATGCACTTGGCCCTGCCGGTCACTGGCCCAGTGGCTGTGTCACTCATCCAAGCATCAGCTCCCTGGTCCCACCGAGCCCACAGGTGGACTTCTTTCCCCCAGGACCAGTTCACGTGCCCCGATGAGTATGAGGACCCAGGGGTCCTCTACGAGGCCATCCAGTCCTTTGAGAAGAAGGTGGTCATCTGCCACGAGGGCGACCCGGCCTGGAGGGGCGCGGTGCTCTCCAACAAGGAGGAGCTGCTGACCCTGCGGCACGTGGTGGACGAGGGCACCGACGAGTACAAGGTCATCATGCTGCACAGGAGCTTCCTCACCTTCAAGGTGATCAAGGTACAGTGGCCGCACCTCCCAGTGGGCACAAGTCTCCTGGCGGGGGATGTGTGAGGAGCAGCAGAGCGGTGGTTGGCACTGACGCCTGAGTCTGTGCCGGCATCGTCTGTTCAGACACAGCCTCAGAGGGGCGCTGGGTGGCGAGGGCTTTGGCAAGAAGTCCTGGGAGACACACATACAATACAGGTGGAGGTCAGTATTGAGCCTGTCTTTTAAAGACTTCCTAGTTCTCTAAGATACCAGACCTTTCCCTGATAACCTATTTCTGGGCCCAAGAACTTCGTCACCTATAGCTCTTCCTTTCATGTAGCTTCAAACCATCGCGCTGGAACAAAAACTCGCGGCCTCCCTATTTGCTGTGCATTTCCCATGAAAATGGCATCATGTCCTCTTGGAGAACGGCCATTCCGCTTGGCTACAGACAGAGCTTTAGGCTGAAGGGTCCTGGTCTGGATACTCAGCTCCAGAGCACTGCTCACTCATGGCAGGTAGAAGCCCACGACGGGACACACACTGCCTGCTTTTCCCCATAGGTCAACAGGGAGTGTGTCCGCGGGCTGTGGGCCGGCCAGCAGCAGGAGCTCATATTCCTGCGGAACTGCAACCCCGAGCGCGGAAGCATCCAGAACAACAAGCAGGTCCTCCGGAACCTCATCAACTCCTCCTGCGACCAGCCGCTGGGCTACCCCATGTACGTCTCCCCCCTCACCACATCCTACCTGGGGACCCACCGGCAGCTGAGGAATGTGTGGAGTGGGCCGGTCACTGTGGACAGCATCAGGACATGGCTGCGGACCAAGTGGGTGAGGTAGGTCTCCCAGCCAGGCCTTCCCCTGGACGCTGGGGGAGGGGACGTGGAGAGCTCTATGGCTTCTCTTGGCACCGGTGCCATCCTGTTGCTTTCTCATATGATTAACGCTGCCATCCCAGGTGTCCTCGCAGTGGCAGGGCCGCAGTCAGTGGGGCCCATTTCCCGCACGCCCCCAGGCTGAGTTCCCACACGGCCTATGGGGTCGTTAGGCCCAGAAGCCCCACGTCTGTTGCAGGGAGCCAGCCCGGGACCGCCCTGTCACTCATCTGTCATCCCTAAGCCTTCTGCCTTGGTTGTGATTGTGTCTCTGGTTAGTGGCAATGAGTTCTAGAAGTTTCACCTGCACGTGTGAGAGCTCCGTCTCAGGCCTCCAAGCCCAGGGTTCTTGTGGACGGTTGAGACTGCAGCTTACTCATCATGGCGCAGGGTTTGCATTCATTTTACACTGAGGTTTGGGGACCCACAGCCCCTCTGTCCACTCGCATCCCAGGTGTGCTGCTCGCCTACGGAGTGTGCCTTCCATCCTGACTCAGCGTGGGTGTGCGAGGCGCTGGCGTATTAGGGATGTTTGGGCGAGAACCTTGGGGCCCTTCTCCCTCCTACAGAATACGGAAGGACTGCGATGCTGGCCCGCGCGCTGCTGGCAACACTGAAGATGTGGATGGAGCGGGGCGGCCATCCGCAGGCGGCAACAGTGCCCCGAGTGGGGAGAGCCAGGAGAGCAGCACAGAACAGCCCAGAAAACAGGGGGCCCACCACTGGTCACCCCGGGAAGGGACACGGAGGACAGGTGGGTGCAGCGGGCGCCTCACGGTTACTGGTAAAGGCTTCTTTGGGCCCAGTGACCAACGTCGTGGGCTGTTGTCATTCTAACCTCTGAGAGTGCCTTCTTGTAAGAAAAATCAGTATTGGGACAAAGGACGCCCAAAATTTACTGACTCTTGTACGTTCTGCTCAGGAAAATCTCTCTATCTCTTAGATTCAGCTTTTATCCTTTGCCCGGGTCTCTCCATTACCTCCGCCAGCCAGCATCTGTCTGTCCATCTGTCCAGTACTCCTTCTATCTCATCTCACTCATCCAACGATGACTTGATCATGTGCCTTTTGTGGCTGGCTGGAGTAGCTCTTGATCCATGGTGGCGGCTTCATCTTTCTGCAAATTGGTCCCCACCCCTCTCCGAGTCTGTGGTGGCACAGACAGGCCTGTTACCCTCCCTTTCCTGCTGCTAATTCTCACCTCCCTCCATTATACCTGACATTTCAAAGGGAGAAGGTGCCAGCAGACGGGAGTGGAGGACGTGCCTCGGTCAAGTTCGGACAGAGTTTAAAGTTTAAAATTACATTTAAACTCAGGCCCGCCTAGTTAGGCTTGACCACGTGCAGGGGAGGCTGGACTGGGAAAGGGAGGTGACCCTGAGGGCTCACAGGGCACGTGCCAGGCGGATGCAGGAGAGACAGATGCTCTGCCCTGGTTCCCGCCAGCACAGGGCTGCTTGGCTAGGTGGTTGCATCCTTGGCCTTCACGCTTCCTCACCATCCAGAAGCATTCGGTAAGTGCCTGCCTCTCCTGCCAGCTCTCCACCAATGAGTTAGCAAGGGACAGTCCTGCCTCGTGGAGGTGCCCAGAGCAAGGCTGAGGATTTAACTGATATAGTGAGGATTTATTCCAACATGGGCAGGATGGTGGGTGGAGAGAAGATGATAGATAGATTATAGACAGATGATAGAGCTAGATAGATGACAGATGATAGGCAGATAGATAGATAGATAATAGACAGATGATGGAAGGAAGAAAGGGAGGAAAGAAAGCTGGTTGAAGAGAGGGGTGGTTAGGCAGACGGGCAAAGCAGTCGGTATTAGCTGCTCGGTGGGGAAAGGGCCCCCTTCCCTGACCAGGCCACCTGCCTGACCCTGAGCAGAGCACCTGCCCAGCCAGAGGCCACGGCGTGTGGCTGGCTTTCAGGCAGGGCTCTCTCATTGCTTAGTTAACAGTGGTTATCGTAAGAGAAATGGAAGTTTCAAAATCACGTAAGTGACTTCCCAGATGGGAAAATTTAAGTAGGTTCCAGATGGAGAAATGCCTGGGCATCTGGCGTTTGCTGGTCAGGTGGCTCGTCTGAACCAGAGGGAGCCTGGAGCGAGGGGAGTGGCCGGAGGGGCGCAGCTTGTGGAGGTGGAGACAGGTGGGCTGGAGCAGCCTTGGCTTAGGGAGAGGCCTCGGCCCTCTCTGACCAGCAAGGCAGCACCAGAAAAAGGAGAAAAAGTGTTTTCTTCAATGAATTGGGGTGATGAGCGTGTCTCCCATTCACAGCTGAGGCCGGGCCAGCAGCCTCCCACACTTGCGTGACATGTGTCAGAGCAGGGTGTCCCAGAGCCCAGACTACCTATCAGTTCTGCATCACTGCTTTTTAAAACTTCCCCCATCAAGGGCACTCCTGGCTTTCCGTGCTCTCCAAGGTAATGAGGCATGGCCAGCCCACCCGCGGCTGGGCCTGCCCCGGGATCTGAGGCCAGTGTGTCCTGCTGGCAACTTTAGGAAGCCCCTTGCTGCTGCTCCCGCTCTCTCTGTGAGCTCAGCTCCTATTCATGGCATCTCAGCCACCATGAGAAAACGCAGTAAGAAGCAGCCGCCCCCAGTGCCCAGTGTGTGCCAAACGCAGTCACTTCATCTTCACTTGAGTGGCTCTAAGAGACAGGCACTTTCCCTGTCCTCATCTTTCAGCTGACAAAACTCGACACAGAAGTTAAGTCACTGGCCAGAGTCACCCAGCTAGTAAGTTCCTGATCTGGGGTTCAAACCTGGGCAGAATGAGCCCAGAACCTGCAATCCTAACCGCCGCACAGGGTCCCATTACCTGGGTTGGGATGCTGCCTTTCCTTGTCCCCAAGCTGGCAAGGAGCTAATTTGCTCCCAGCCCTGCGTCTGTGGTGCTGGCAGTGCCCCTGCCCGCCTGACTTCATCCTGTCCCCTGTTGGCAAGGGCTCCCCTTACAACTGGTCTGCCCTCTGGCCCACAGCAGGCAAAGATGGTGCCAGTTCTCCCTGAAGCAGCCAGCAGGGTTAGTTTAGGTCCCCGCTGTGGGCAGGGGGAAGAAAGGGGACAAGGGGCAGCCACAGGTCCCTCCCCTTGCTCAACAAGCTGACATGCCTGTAGAAGGAAGCACTGCACTCTGGGAGTTTTCTTGAGACTGGTTCCCCTGCAAAGTCAGAGAGCTGGGAGGAGAGAGGGGAGATGGACTGAGGCCCCCGCTCCCACCCACTTCATACAAGGGAAGCACCTCTCCCTTACGCTTCCTCTCTAGCTATTCCTGCAGCCCTGACAACTGCACAAAACTATGCAGCTCTTCACACAGCGCCTAGAGGGCTGTTACCTTATGTGGGTCAGGCCATTCTTCAGATTAAGAACAGAGTTGGCCCTAGAAAGTCGGGGTGGCAGGGTACAGGGCTTCCTAACCTTGGCCATTAGAACCCTTTGGGACCTAGAGGCTGGGACCTTTGGGGCGGGAGCTGGGAATGTGGTTGCCTGGCTGATACAGTTCTGCAGGTTGGCCCCTCATGCCCCCTATTGTCAGTCAGTGTGTTGTGTGTTGAGCCTGTAGACGGATGCAGTTGTCATCCGTCACTTTAGAGCAGCAGGGTGAAGGGTGGACAGGGCCATGTGATGCCACGTAAACAAACAGGACGGTGTGCTAAGTCCCCTGCCGAGGGAGTCCTGGGGGCTGGAGGTGGAGGGCCTGACTCTGGGCCGGACACGACCCAGAAACTCGGCCAAGCAGCAACGAAGAGCGGGTCTGGAGGGCGAACGTGAACCAAACTCTAAGATCGGGGGTCTTGTTTTACTCACGGCTTAATTCCCAAAGCTTAGTTCCCATAACTGGAGACCCAACTGCTCCCTCCCTTGGGCCCCCGCCAGGCTCTCAGAGGACTAGGGTCCTGCCTGAGTCTCCACAAGCAGCCCCCCCCCGCCCCCAATGTGGGCCACATGTCGTGTGCTGCTCCCAGAATGCCCAGCACATCACCCCCGGCTGCCAGTCACTCAGTGCAGCCTCAGCTGTGGCCCGACAGACAACCTGCAATCTTCTTGCTGAGGTAAACAGTTATGTCCCAGCTGGAAGGGACTTGGCCTGCCTTGGGGAGACTGGTGACCTACCTGACAGCAGTTAGGAGAGGAAGACTCCACTGTCCTCTTGGTGAGGACCAACCTGTCAGGTGACAACCAAAGACAGAGGCACAGTGCCAGGATAATGAACCGAGAAGGATTATTTATGTGGTATTTCAACCAGGTTCTAAGGAGGTTTTCCCTGAAAATGCCCAGAATTCAATAATGAAATAATTGGCAAAGTTAAACGAGGAAGCAGTGGTCCCGAGCAGCACAAAAGCATTTAGCGTGGTTTGCTCACTTGTTCCATGTGCAAAATTAAATTTACCAAAAAATCAAGAGCAGCAACAACAAAAACAACAAGAAAACCTGAAGCAATGAGGGTGGGCGGAGGTGGCCTCGTCCTGCAGAGAACAGAGACCCTTCCTCTTTGACACACAGAGGGGTCTTTGTCCCTCTCCTGGAATGCACTGGGAAGCCCCCACCGCGTCCGGGTGGTCCTCCATCCAGCATCAAAGTCGCTGACTTGCCGATGATTGTGGAGCAGTTTTGGACAGCAGTCAGCGCTACGGTGCAAATCACAAACAGATGCTTGGCCTCGCCAGACTCTGAATAAACTAACAAATCGCCGTCTCTGTTCTTAATTCTGATTCGTCAGGGCCTCTTTTTTCCTCTCTAAGAGTAACTTATTCAGCTATTCAGCAAGGACCGTCCAGATGGGCTCGGCTCGGGTGAGAGCCCCATGCCAGGGGCTGCCCACCCTCATCCCAGGGAGGTAACACCAGCTTTGTGGAGCTGAGCAGCACCATCAGTGGGGGGGTGGGCACCCTAGCTCTTAGCAGACACAAGAAAGATCCAGGTGTGAACAGCATGGCCCTCTGGAAATGGGCAGCCACCATCCCGGTGGCCGCACAGCACTGAGACCAATGTGAGGCGAAGGGCCCTTCCAGCCAGTAAGCCACTGTGGGCAGGCAGGCTGGAGGGACCCTGGGAATCTCTATATTAGCATCTGTTTCCTAAGGAGCTCTCTCAAAAGATGTGTGTCTTCTCAGGGGGTTATTCTATAGATGCACATAAATATTCTACAAACCCCGGATGCACAATTAATAATTTAAGAATTTGGGTGAGGTGCAACTCGGGAAAATGCAATCCTTCTGGGTGCCCACCCTCCACCCCGTTTTTATGGATTGAATGCCTAATTGGAGTGGCTTCAGGGGATATGCCCATAAGGCATTTGGTAGAACTGCGATGTCACAGGCTGCTTCCTTCAAAATAGTATTTTAAAAGTCGGCCCTAGTAATTATAGATGCTTAAGTGAAGCAATTCGGTGTTCTGGCAAGCACAGGTTCCCCCTCTAACCGCTTGGCCTATAGAGCTGCAGGGTGGGTCATGCACAAGACACGCCCTTTAAGTCGTCCCTGTCCCAGAGACTTGGACAGGACCAGATCTTTGGGGCAGTCCAACCTCTTTCGTCAAAAAATGTCTCAGCAAGAGCTGGGGCCACGAGCTACCCTGCAAGGAGGGACAGCTGGCACAAGGAGCTGGAGCCACGCCAGGTGATGGCTGTGTCAGTGGAGGCCTGGGGCTGGCCAGTGACACGGCCTGCCCGCGGGGGACCTGGGAACGCTTCCTCCTCAAGAGCCCGAGCTCAAGGGAAAACTTTTCTACAACAGAAAACAAAGGCCGCAGCATGAGGCTCCACCCTCCCTCTCCCCCTTTTTAAAAGCAACTACAAATGATAAAAGCCTACATGTTTTCCGTTTATCACTGCTGAGGGGAGGAGCACAGCAACGTGGGTCCTGAGGCAGGAACGAAATCGAATTTGCTTGATGGGGGCGAGTTATGTGGCTGGTATCGTCTGGTCTGCAGGGGCGGGGGTTTCCAGGAAGGTGGGGTGTTAATGTTAGAGCAGGAGAGTGCTGGGCGAACCGGACAGGTCCATCACCCTGGCCGCCGCCCCCGCACCGACACCTCCCACCCCCGGGGCAGCCCCTCAGGAGAGACCCTCAGTGGGGCTGGCAGCTCTCAGGCCAGCCTTGGAGGTGGTGGCCGCACCTGGGTCCTGAGCCGAGGAAGAGCAGGCCGCCCCCCTCACTGTGCAAACTCGGACATTGCCACGGCTACCTGTTCTGCTTTCTTTTAAAGGCAGGAGGAAAGGAAGGAGTCAGTCTGTCCAGGCACACGGGGCGTTAAGCCAGAGGCCGCCCATCTTGAGTTCGTCCGGCCCGATCTTAGAAAGCCACCAGGCCTTCTTGCAGACGTCCTCGTCGGTCCACGGACTGGCCCCGAGGCTCTCGGGCAGCCGGCTGTCCTTACACACCTCTGCCGCGTCCCTGCACTCGCAGCCCCCGCCTGTCACCACCACCGGCCACCTGAGCGTCCGCGAGCGAGCCGAGGCGCTCATCAGGTCCAGCCTGGGCTCCTCCACCAGCTCCACCCTGAGCTTCCTCTTCGGCAAGAGGAGCTTCTCTAGCGCTCTCGTCATCTCCGGCCTCTCGGCCGCAGAGGGGGGCAGCACCAGTGACACCCAGTCGTCCAGCAGCGTCAACATCATGATGGGCCCCTCAGCCCGCACCGCCAGCCAGGCCACACGGGTAAGCGGCTCGGTGGGATGCAGGGCGGGTGTGTGGGCTCCTGGCCTGATGGCCCCCGGCATCTGCCTGCAGATTCCCGCCACCGTCTCCACAGTGACAGACGGCAGGTAATTAGACAAGAGAGCGTTCGGCTGCGTTCTGACGCAGCCCAGATACGTAGCTCACGTCCTGTGGGTAATAATACCCAGGTGGGGTAATGTAAGAGTTCACCAGTTGTCACCTGAGCCCTGAGCCCAGCGCTCATCCACACAGCAGAACATGTGTCACCCAGTCTTTTCACGTTATTCTGGCCCCAGAGGACACACATCAACACTGGAGTTCGATCACCACAGATTTCGCCCACCAGATCTGATTTCAAAGCTGCCGAGATGTATTTCTGCGTATTTACTTCTAAGTATTTAAACATTAAAAAGGAGAGTGTCGAGGACTTCCCCCAAATAAACTGTGACTCATCCAGAGTTGTGAGCTAGCTGATGTTAGATGAACACGTGTGCTTCATAAGTAAGTACATACCCAGCAGTTCTCCGTACTGTGGCAGGGAGGGGAACAGGCGCCATCGAGGCAGACCTCGTGTCAGATGGCAGACTCCCCACGCTCCTTTGGAACATCGGCACCTGGTCCTGCCTAAGGGTGCAGTGCCTGCAGGTGGATGGTGGGGGTGGGGGTGGGGCCCTTCCTGCTTCCCATGAGAGAAACCCTCTAGGCAGGTGCCTGCCCCAGGGGGAGCAACGGGGCCGTCTTCAGCCACCGAGGAACCGAGGCTGGCATCAACCTCCCTAAGAGCCCGGGGCTGCAGCAGTGCCGTGCCACCTTTGGGGGGGGGTGTTCTGTGGGCTTCCTGGAGCCCCCCAATCCCCCAACCCCATCACACCAGCCTAAGACAAGGAAACTGGTTACTTTCAGGATTATAACTCAGTTTAGCTAAATAACTAAATGTATTAACAAACTTCCTTTTTTTCATTTCCTCAATAAAAACGCACAGGATATCACACCTTTCTCCCACCCCAACCTGTGTTTAAGACACACTGTGGGTCTAATTCGGGGATTCTGGCAAATCCTCTTTCCCTCCAGCTAGGATGACCAAGCTCTTGGGACTATAGGCATCCAGACTAAACGGCCTCTGGGTGCCTGTTCGGGGTCAAACCTGCCGGACTCAGCATTTATGACAGGGGCTAAGTTTCTATGAAGTGACACTGACCAAAACCTAGGAAATCCAGGCACACACATGACCTTTTACCCAAGGTCGTCTTTCCAGCACGTCCAGGTTACCTGAGAATAGGTCCCATGTTCAGAGGCACCCCTGCACCCCCATGTTACATCCTCTGTCCATCAGTCCTCCAAGGCCACCCTTTTTGTCTTCTGTAATCTGACCGACTTCTGGTTTAGTACATAGGTTAGTATGCAGCCAGTGTGGTAGTGGTCAGAAGTGGCCACACCTGTTTGCTGAGCGATTTGCTTCTTCTCTTTTCTCTTCGGAAGCACTTCTCTGAGCCGTGTGACTCCACCGATGGTCCAGAGCAGAGGCATCTCCGTGGCCGCCGTCGGGCTGAGGCCGTGGCCTCGGGCATCGGGGTGGTCTGCAGAAGAGCCAGCCAGGAGGACATGGGCCTGGATGACACGGCTTCCCAGCAGAGTGCCTCCGATGAGCAGTAGGCGCACGGCACTGTAAGGGCCCCCACCGTCAGGGGACAAATCCCCACGGCTTCCCCTTTTTCTCCCTTCTGCTCCCCAAAATATAAAGAGCAAATATTGCCATCCACATGAGGCCCTTCCTGTGGAAAAATGAGAGCTGTTGTGGATAACTGAATAACTTTATCTCAGGATCTTGAAAACTATTTCACACGATGAAAAACAAAAACAAAACCACCACCTGACGCCAGGCCTCCTACCCGCCATGCTGCTCCGAGCGCTCACTGCACCCAGGGCTGGCTGGAGGGAGGCACAAAATGCTTTCCAGAACATGAAGATCCAAACAAAAGCCATGTACCATCTTCAGTCCACTGGGGGGGGGGGGGGGAGCACATATATAACTCTTTCCACCTGATGGAAGTATGACAACTGCATGTTACCTAACTGGCGTTTCATAGCATCACACCACCCCCAGTCCAGTGCACTACGGTTATGCTCATGCATAAAGAAAATCTCACTTCTTTATAATATTTATGCAGATGTTAAGTATAAACCGGCGACAGCTTTACTGCAAGAAACGTGGTAGTGCATGCAGTCCTGTCCACCATCCTTGTGCTACAGCCAGCTGTCTCAGGAGAGGGGAGTGTGGGTCTGGTCCAGGCCCACACTGAAGCCGGAAGCTGTCCTGGGAGGACAGGACGCTGGGCAGACAGAGCTGGCCCCGCGCCCCGCGCACCGGGGTGACCCACAGGACCTTCCACTTGTGCTCCAGGCCAAGCTGTCCCTACTGTGTCACCTGCACAAACCTTTGTTTTGGGAATTAAAAGGTTTATAGTTCTTGCTGTGTCCAGTTTGAGTTCTGCGGAAACTGTTGCCATTTCTATAAAATGAATCTGTGAAAACAACATTTGGGCAAATTCTGAGACAACTTTTCCCATAAGATTTCCATGGGGTAGAGCAGAAAGATGGTCCCTTGCTGACAGGAGGCAGGGGATGGGCCCCGGACACAGCCCCTCAGGGAATGGCATCCGTGACTCACTGAAAAGACCATGGTTAGAAATATTGAATTTGGAAACAGTCTTACAAATTTCAACGTTTCTAGGACTTGGCAGTGTGGGGACAGGGAGGGTATTCCACACAATTCCTTACAGCTTGGAAGTAGACGGTAATATGTTTTTTTTTGTTTTGTTTTGTTAAAAAAAGAATTAGCAATCACAATAGGTGGGCTCTATAGTCAGTGCAGAATCCTCAGATCAGCAGCCCCTAGAGACCAAACTGGGTTACTCCCAATTTACATGCAGGTGTGTTTGTCCAATGAGGAGCTGATCTAACCTGATGTGGTTCTCCAAGTTGGTCAAACCAAACTCGGCTGGAGCTCCTGCAATCTTGGGCAACTTTGTGGTCAAGCCCCCAGGGCCATATGGCAGGTCCTGGGCTGTGAGTGTGGCCTCCCCATGTAGATGTCTCCTTGAATTTAGTAAGAAAAATGACGCACAACTGGCCACTCCTTATGCGTCCGGAAGGAAGAAACAGAGAAAGCCAACGAGTCCTACAGAAAGTGAAACCTCCTGAAAGCTGCGAAGCTCACCTGTAGAGAAATGACAATGCGGATGATAAGGCCAAAGAGCCCTAGGGCGCCAGCTTCTCCTTCCTCGGGAGATTCCCGGGCTCCTCCGACTGCTGAACCCATCCTTATCCTAGTGCAGCCTTTGGGGAGGCAGGGGGTATGGAAATGTGTGGTTTACCCAAAACCCACAACAGCAGACACGAATGTAACTGCATCGCCAGTGAAGGCGGAGACTCAGCTGTCAGCCGGTCCGTGTGCGCACGTCCACCCACAGGTGCGCGTATACTTCCACCCACAGGTGCGCATGCCCGAAAGGGAGGAGGCTGTTGGACTCGCCTCATGCCTCTTTGAGGCTTTCACCGATGCAGTCATGGGTTTTTTTGTTGTTTTGTTTTTTGTTTTTAATTGTGGAAAACAACTTTTATCTTTACAACTCACAAGCTTGTTAATTCGGTGTTCAGCCCGTTGGCTGTTTATCAGAATAGTCTTTGAAAAATACCGTATTATTAGCCCCCATTTAGAAGAGATATTCCTAAGGTGACAGTTTTTGCCAGTTATTCAAATGTTCTGCCAGCATACAGCTAGAGGGTTATTCTCTGCATGTGGATACTGGCCAAAATTTCCTCCTCTAAAGATAAAACTGTAGTGCTTGCTTTTATATAAATCATGTGGCTTTCTGGCATTATTGATTCTAAATTTTGCAGTGTTTAAACTGTCTGGCAAGTAGTTTTCTGAAATCATTCAATACTCCCAACTTCTCTTTGCCCATAAAACATGCAATGCGACGCCTGTTCACTTAGGCCCCTCCTCTCCAGCCCCTCTGCCTTTCCAATTGTGTCCCAAGTCACCGAGCTTCAGGGACATAGGCATGTCATCAGCAGGCGCACGCGCGGGTGCACTCTCTCCCCCCCGCCGACACCCCAGACACAACCTTGCATGAACACTGAGACAGACAGAAACAGAAAGGGGTGCAAGGCCCATTCCACTGTTTCTGGGCTGCCTTTGTCCCCCACCCGGCTTGATGATCTGAGGGCTGGGAATGAGGAGAGTGACTGAACTGGCAACTTCACTTGGAGCCTTTTCTTGTCAGCCACGATCATCAGATTATTCTCTGAATTTAAGATTCATCCATCTCCCTACCTGTGCGCACTCTTATTCAGAGGTAAAAAAGGAAGTTTATAACACTGTGTTAAGTGCTGGCGGTCCCATCTGTGACGGGGAAGAGCACAGGATTTAGGACCCTCATTTCCGAATCCGCTGTGCTTTGCCCCATCCAACCACGGTGTTCTAGCTTACAACCCTCACGCAGGCGATACACATCAGTCTGTGCTTTTCAAAGAGAATTCTTCCTCGAAGTCTCCACTCATACCCAAATGTCTGTTAGGTATCTGGATTTGTTTGAACAGGAGGCATTTCGAACTCACACATGGAAGAGAATTCCCGCTGTCCACCGGCCCTGACACCGCACCCTTCCTCTCCGAGAGCGCCTCTCCTGGCTGGTGGCCCCACGGGGCAGTGCTCAGCCTCTCCTGCTCTGGTCCTGGCTTGTGCTCAGGGAGGGACCGCAGATGGTGCTGTGCCTCGGTGTCTCTTCCTGACCCCCACCGTCACTCTTCCTCCTTTAAACCTCAGCAGAATGCTGCTCCTACAGGCTCTGCACATGTGGCCCCGACGTAGAGTTATTTGTGAATTCATCTTATCAGATACCAAGAGCTCTGAAACAAGAAACAATTATTTCTCAGTTCTGGAGGCTGCAAAGTCCAAGATCAAGGTGCCAGCTGATCTGGTGTCTGGTGAGGCCCACTTCCTGGGTCGCCAACTTCTGTCTTCTCAGTCCTCACGTGGCAGAAGGGACGAGCGCTCAGTGGGGTCTCTTTCGTAAGCGCACTAATCCTGGTGGCCTCATCACCTCCCCAAGGTCCATCTCCAGACCATCACACTGGAGGATGATTTCAACATATGAATGCGGGGGGAGCGGGGCACAGACATTCAGACCATAACATTATCTGTTATTAAATTTCACTTGTTAAAACACACAGATTGCACCTGGCATCTTCACACATGCTCCCTATCCATCTAGTTGACAAAGGAATATAATGATTATTTAAGGAGATTTCCACAACAAACAATAAATGCTCTTTCGATTGATAGCAGCTAGTTTATCACACTAAATGTCACCTGAGGTCTGGGGGCACATGACACACCAAAAAATACTGAAGAAATGTCATCTGAGATCTGGGGGGCATGTGACACACTGAAAGAGCCTAAACAGTGGGAATGGTGAGAAGAGCATGGGTTTTGGAGCCACACGGGCTGGGGTTCAAATCCTGTGTCTGCCACTATGGCCGAAGCTCCCAGCACCCTACAAATGTCAGGGGCCATCCCGAGTCTGTTCTACAGTCAGACTTCTAGGGGATCATAACAGTCACCCCACCAGTCACATTTGGCTTCAGCTCTAAGTGCCCTCAAACTAGCTCTTTTACTTTATTGGAATAAATTTCATTGCTTTCCTTCTAATGTAAGACAAAACCAAAGTCTACTAAACAGTCATGACTGAAAACAAAGACAAGCAGAGGGAAACTGTCCCTTCAAATCAGATGGACGTGAACCCTTGTAACCTCGAAGCGCCTTCCCGGAGACGGGCCCACGTCAGCCAGGCCTGCGTGCGTGTGGGGCCCATTGTCAGGGAGCATGGGCGTGACACTCCCCAGCTGCCTCACTTTCTTGGGTCTCCTGAGGGCTGAGTGGAGCTCACTCCGGGCTGTGGGGGTCCGGTGAGTGGACTTAGGGCAGGGGCGGGTTCCCAGACCTAGTGGTGGCTGTCCTGATGCCAAAGCTCATAGGCACCTGTGTTCAGTGCTCCCCATCTCCTGGGAGTGTCGCTGAAGTCACCCTACTGTCATACCTCATAAGCTCGGCCTCCCTGAACAACCCAACCAGGCAGGGAGTGAATCAGTGACGCCCTCTTCCTCAGCCTAGACAAGGTACCCTTTTTAGGGGGTCAGTTCATATCCTAGTGGACCTTTCAACTGTGGTCCCAAAGGCTTGGGAAATCCAGACCAAGCTTCAGAAAGTGGCCCTGGGAGGAAGTGCTGAGGCGACACTGATATACAGGTCAGTCACAGGCTGCAAGCCGTCATCATGGTTTAGAGATGCAAGTGCTTCCAGCACTGTCGTGTGCCCAGAGCCCATGTCACAGGACACCTCTCTCCATAGACACTGGGCCTGGTCCACAGGTACAGATGAGCACACCTGGCATTAATGCCAGCCAGCTTTGTAGCTAACGCTAGTTGCTAAATACTGGAAGTTCATTGATCTTCACCAGAAATGACCAAAAACTATTAATCACTCCAGAACCATCAACCCTTCGAGGGCAGTTTTTACCCTCTATGAATGCTGGGGTGTCAGCAGTATTTTCTCAGAGCCCTGCATGGGCCACCTCTCGTCGCCCCACCCCTGGACGCTCCCAGGGCACGATGCAGATAGCTGGTGACACCTTCCTTCCACGACGTGCCATCACCTTCCTGTGACCACACTCATCTCCCCCCTTTTCTGGAAGGGAAACGAGGCACAGAGAGGTTTTGGAACATGGCCAAAGTGGGGCTCTGAGCTGCCCCCAGGCCCGGGCCTGCTGGGTACCAAACGCCATCACCATTTCTTTCTTTACTTTTAGTAAGAATTTACTTGAGCTAAACTGACAACATAGACTGCGGAGCACGGTCTCAAATGCTCTGATTTCCAAGGCTGTTCATACCTCCCACACAAGGACTCACGTGTCTGCAACCAGCACATTAATTTTTAATGTAGTAAGCAGTAAACAGTAAGAGATGGGTGGGGAGAATCTAAATTGTTTGCTTTTGAAATCATAATTTTTAAAAATCAAATAACATCACTTCAAGCTGCACAGGACGGCAGCTGCACCTGGAGAGGGACTGGTGCTCAGGACACACAGAGCTGATGAGGTGGTGGGGCCCCCCTTCCTGAACACACTTATAAACTTCAGTGGGGGCAGATTCCACTGAATACTCTGAAAACCACTTCTCATCTCATATTTACCCAAATCATACGCACAACTGCAAGAGGAAATAAACAGAAATCTCTTGGCATAAATAAATCCCAGTGGATGGTTAGTCTTAGAGTCAATCCAGCATTAAGGCTAATTCGAGCCTTTAAACACTTGATGGGAAACAGCTGTCAGGCTCTTGACGAGCCCACAGGCACAAACCCTGACAGGCAGGGCACTGGGCAGGCTCCTCGGGAACATGCACATTTCTCCACGTGCAGGAAAGCGGTGACACAGACCGGCTTCACTTCCGGCCGCTCTGCACACACGTCACAATATCTGGCAAAAGGCGGTTTCTGTTCTCCTTGGTGACCTGTGGGGAGAAGCAAGAGTGAGCATCCGAGTCCCTTTCCACTCTTCAATCCTCTGACAGGTCATCTACCAAAGCAGCCGGAAGGCGGGGAGGGTGAGGTGTGTTGGGAGCTGGGAGCCAGGAGGAGGCCCAGCTCTCTAGCCGCTCAGGAAGCAGGACAGGTGTGGTCCTACCCACCCCCAGCCTCTGCGAAGCGAAAGTGAATTTACGACTGAGATTTTAACCACGAAGAGAGCTAAGAATGAAGCCCGTGCGAGGCTCTGGAACAGACGATGAGCACGCAGGACGGGACGCGGCCCCCCTGTGACCTGACCTGACCTGACCGGAGGGAGCTGCCTGAGCGAAGCCAGCGGGGCCCAGTGAGAGCACCTGGCTGTGTTGCAGCCACAGTCCTGGGTGCTCCCGAAGGCCACTCACCTGCTCATCGCTCCATGAACTTAGAAAACCTGAGTGTCGCCAGGAGCCCAACGTCAGTCAGCTCCACCTTTGAAAGCTGGGGAAGCTGACGCCCCGAGAAGTCAGGCATTTTCCTGAGGTCTCAGAGCCTCTGGGGGACGGAGTGCAGACTAGAACACAGGCAGCGACCCCAATGTGCCTGCTCTGTAATTGATACCATCACCAAAACCAAAGTAACGAAGAGTTTATCGAGCTTCACTTGATGATGTTTGTAATTTTTCCTTCTTTCACAACCACAGTCCCAGTGAATACAACAAACCCACTCTGACACCACTGAGGCGCGGGGCGCGGGGCGCTGGGCTGCTGCCCAGGCAGCGGCCAAGCCACGGTTCCTCCCCTCACCAGCGCCTTCCCGGTTGGCCCCATTCACCCACTCAGCACTGATGGGCGCCAACCAGAAACTGGGCAAGGTGCTGTGGACAGAGAAATGACTCAGGTGAGGACTTGACCTCATGTGAGGAGCTCGCAGACCAGGACACAGGGACAGACATGAACCACAGC